AACTCAATTATTATTTGTCTATATATATATATACATAATTGGCGCACAAGCGAGTAATATTAAAGTACAAACTAAAGATACTGTCAAAAAATATTTCATCATCAGTTTAATTTCAAATACAGCGACTTACAATGTTGCATTAAGAAAATAATCTTTGTTTCAATTTTCTCATAATCTTGTTTAATTATAACAGCAATATATATATATATGAATGGTGATCCATTAAGGGTAAGACATTGGTTTTTTTTTTCAATAACTGCAATGTTTCTTTTTGAACACATTTTTTTCATGTTTTTTTTACAATATTAAAAAGTTATTAAATATTTACCTTTTTTTATTTTAGTATATTTCTGAGCTCTGTCAAACTCTTCAAACTTAAACGGTAAAGTATATGTTTTGTTGAATTTTTTTTTTTAATTAAGAATAATTTGCTGGAAATGTTTGCCTGGTCGATAATCTGTTTTGGATTACTTACTTTTAAAGTACTGTAAACTTTAATGACTAAGTAAATAAGTAAGTTAATAAGTAGCTATTTGTTCGTGGGATGGTTGAGCATATAATTTCATGGAATTTTTTTGGGACACCAATTTTTAAGACTCTTTACTTCTTGTATTTCGGAGGGTAGTATTGTGGAGCTAATTTTTCACAATAATTAAATTATAAAAAGTCTTTTTGTTTTGTTTTAAGAATAATTAATATTAATAAAAGACTGCGTTTCGTTAAATTATATCAATAGTTTACTATAGCTGTAACAACTGAATTGGATTAATCAACGATAGCTTTAGTAGAGGGAAATGAAAGAACTTTAGAAAGAGAACACAAACCCGGTTTATTGATTTTACTCACAATGTATTCTGTTTCATTTTTTTTTTGTGTTTACTCCTTATTGAAAATGTTACCGAATCCGATGTATATTATAACTAAAAAACTATAAGATCTGAAATTTGGATTTAACGTTTTAAAACCAGTGACTGGTTTGATTGTCAAGTTAAATATTATGAAGCTGCAGCATCTCATCACGGGAAGGTATTAGTTTTGGGTGGAGGAGGAGGGCAATTGTCTGTACGATTACATAGCAGACTGACTTTGGTCCTGTGGACTTTGCATCTGTTAGAATAATACTGAATACAAACACACACTGTAGATTATTTACATTTCAGGTCAGGTCTTGTGGTACACTGCGACACAGGTGTTTGCAAAACCGTATACGGTCATATTATAATAATTATATATATATACACTATTGTATTAATATTTATATAGGTATGAGGAGTACCTGTTTTGGATAATTGGGTGGTAGGTCGGCTCGAGAAAAAAATTCCCCCCAAAAAAAAACATGTGAACAGTGTAAACCAACCGAAAAGGTGTTGGCAGCTTATACCGTCGCTTCGGGGTATTATAAATTATTATGGTTTTTTTTTTTATCAGTATATTGAAAATACACACGGGAACGGTAAGTTTATAAATATATATATATATATATATAATAAAACGAACCCAAATATTGTGCCCCAGTGACCTAAACGGTGAATGAGGTTGAGTGTATATTATACAAAAAAATATCGCTTTGGTGGTAAAAAAAACACAGTATTATTACATTGATCGGTTAGGCGTTCGTATCCAAAGTTACAAAGCCAAATTGCAAAATATAGGATTCCACCATAAGATATGTGTATAACATATGAATATATTACTGTGAATCATAAACATACCTATTAAACCGTGAGATTTCCTCCAGTTCCAGTAACTATGAAATTGGTAATCATCATTACATTACTACAACAATAAGCCCCATAAACAATAATGATAAAACATTATCGCTTTGGCGTTAACAATATTCTATTTTAACTTAATAATGATTATCGATTCGGAGTACATTAATTAGCTTGTCGAATAATAATAATAATAATATAAAGTAATAAAGGAAATAAAAGAACAATAAAAAACGTCTGTGAAAAATAATTTTTGTATTATTTTAATTTCTATTTTTTTTTAATTTTGATAATTTAAACTGCTATTTTTCATATCTTAAAAATTGTTTTTTTTTTGTATTAAAATAAAACAAAATCAAAAAGTTTTATGTCTTTTCAAGTTTGGTATTTTCATTTATTGTTTTATCATTCGAATGACTTTTGTCTTATGTCTACCAATAAAGGTTTTTAATACTGTTTTTAATAATTTTTATTATAAATATTCTGTGGAAGCAAGTAAGCATTAATTATAAACAATTTTATAGACTTCTAGAATTAGCCATTTTAATTCATTATTGTCTAATTATTATAATATTCTCAATTTTTTATGTTTAAAAAAAAATATATTTTTCATTTAACATAACGTTATTCACGAACGACTCTTTTTAGTTAAAATATTATTATTTTTTTAATTCAAAATTTACATCAACTATGTTCTGTTTGACATTAAATTGTTAAATTTTACCGAACTGTGAAAATGAGTAATGTATTTTGGGTATACTATGAACGTTTAAGGTGTAGATATGAAACTAAATCGGATATTTCAAAACCGTGTAATGGAAATTGAGTGTAAAAAAAGCATACTCTTATTAAAACAAATCAATATTTGTTTTGTTTATGCGTACAAAACGTTGCACAGTTGTTAAGTTTTTATTTCTCAAGCAGCTTAAATAATTATGTATATTTACAACGCCAACAGATCTAAATACTTTTTAATATTCCTAGACTAATGAGATAATATGATAATACATAAGTGTTCACTTCCTATATAGATCCGATAGCGATTACTTAATCAAGTAAACAAGTAAGTATATACTTTAGTCGGTCTACGGTGAACTGTAAACATGGAAGTGCGTTACCGGAGCATGTAAGTACCTCTAGAAGTTTATTCCATAATACGGTTTTCGGTATCGCATATAAATTTAATAAGATTTTATAAGACTATACTCGAGGAAATTAACAGATAAATTAATTATTCCAAGTTTTAGTAGTTCAACACGGTTTTAATTAAAATTGTAAATAAATCATTTCGGCGTTACAAAGTGTTGTTACAAGAACAAAATAGGTATTGTGTTATATGATTCGCTTGGCCTGTTTTGCTTTATATTATATTGTGTATAAGACATTGCATGAACTATACCAAAGCGTGGCAAAAACATGTACGAAATGAAATAAATAATAACGTCATTATTTCATCTTGCACACTTAACTGTTGTGAAAACTTATGGAGCGGTAAAGTTGCAATGTCGACTTTTGGTTACCATGGAAAAAACAAAAATAAATTAAAAAACATTCGTTATTTATAATGGACCCAAATAAATTGCGGATAATATATTCTGTACTGTAAAAGTTCGGTCGAGTGTTGGCCCAAAGACAAAAACAAATTACTACATGCAATAATATTTTACCCCAATCTTCACGCCCAAAATAATAAATTGTACTTTTAATCGTGTATTAGGTTGAATTATTGTTTTTATTTTTTTTTACATACTGTCGAGGTCGTTTGAAAAACTTGCATAAGTTATTTAAATCCGTTTTGTGTCCACTAGTCCCTCATAATACATATTATATGTACATGCACGTTTTGTTTTCTAGCGCTATACTGTAATGTCCGGTTGCACTAAACTTGTCCTTATCTATTAGTAAATTATTTAATAAACTAACTTTTGTTAAAATTTATCTTTTGTTTAATTAACACGTGTTGCTCAACCGTTGTTTTATATTCAGGTTATTACCAGTGTACTGGTTATCGAATAAATAGTATCAACAGTAGGAGTTAATATTATTATCATAAGGGGTCTAATCAATGATAAACTGATAACGCACAATTCTATTATTACCACTTAACGCAAAACATTGATAACAACTACACATACATTTTTACACAGCGCTAAATGACCCTGTAAATATTTCACTCGTGATAAAATAAATGTTTAACAACAGATAAAGTTTAAAACATGGTTTATGCAACAGAATTTATTTCAACTCCAGTTAACCGAGTTTATGTCTGTGTAAATATTTGGTGCAACCCGGCATTAGTGTATTATTTTAATTAAATTAATATCGCATAGTTAGATTACAACCGGTGTACACATATGATATTTTTATTGAAATATATTAACTATACGGATGATGGAATCAAACCGAGTTCGGTGTCTTTTTTTTTTTTACATGTATTTCAAACATTTGGTTCTAACCGTTCATTATTTGCAAAAAAAAAAATAATATGTATAATTGAAATAATTTAGTTTGTGTGTTTTTTTTACGATTATATCATTTCTAAATGATTGTATTTTTTAGCGTTTTCCACAGCAATCAACTTGGAACTTAAACGGTAACATTTTTATTTTGTTATATATTTTTTAATGGAAATGGTGTGCTATAAGTGTAAATTATGATTATATATATTTTTTTAAATAATTGTTACTTCTTTTAACCCTTCAATGCCCAATTTTTTAATTTTATGATGTACAATTCTAGTTTTGCAGATTAAATTAACAGCAATTTGGGACAAATAAGTAAAAAAGTATATATTTTAAAACAAATTAACTTTAGAGCTCCACCTAAATTAAATTAATTTTTTCTAACAAAACAAAAATTATATAACAAGCATGTCACGTTTCTGTTACAATGAGCACTGAAGGGTTAATTAAATTGAACGCCGCAGAAACTGCAGCCATCCCGCAAATCTTGGTTTTGGAACAATTCGATATCTTACAAAACGATTTTTTTTTTGTTTTTTTAAATTTCTTCCATTCTGTTAGTCATAGAATATATCGTTTAAGTAAACGGTCAGACAGATAACAATATAAGGACGGTTGGTTTTTACAGCTGTACGTTGCTGCGCTGTACCGTATTCGATATTGGTTTTGTTGTTGTAATTTGTGCGGGCGGTCCGACTTGTAAATGAACAAACGCTGCTCTGTATTATACTGTGCACGGATAGCCCTATATAGTTTGCTCGGGTGATAATGTGTACCGATTAATTATTGCATTGGCTCATTATGGTTCTGCTTTTGTTGTTCGCAGATATCCGACGACGACCGCATGTCTTTGACAACCGCCATCAGCGACGAAGACGACGGCGAGAGCAATCAAAATTCGCCGTATCGCGGCAAACAAACAGGGAGCGCAGCCGCCTCGTTTAATTGCACGGGAGCTGTCAGAAAAGCAGGGTAAGTGCCACGTTAGATATAGATAATAGTATGCATTTAAAACACCACCTCTGTTTGCTTCCGCGCCGACCCTTGACCGTGTACAAACAAAAAACAAGGGCAAACGATATACCTATATATTGACTTACTATAACGGTTCCTATAGCCACAGACTACACGCGGAAACAGATAGAGTGCACTCCGTAGGAAAACAATAGATTTTCAAATAGCGACTTTTAGATTGGTTTTTCAACTTAACGCGGTAGTGGCAAATAATTATAATGCCCGGAAAATATTGTACACACTGTTTACAGTTGAAACGAAAAATGATAAGAATTACTGATAACAAGTCACAGTCAATAAACGGTGGTTGATGGTGATAACGGCATAATAGATGATTGGTAACATTTTTTTGACCACACTGTACAACAGAAGAATTATTTTTTTCATTTTTCGGTCACACTGACCTGAGTTTATTAAAGTTTGTTTAAGAGTGCACTATCTGATTTTATTTAACCTTTGTTACTACGATATAGCCACAGACTATATGAAAACTGATAGCTTATTCGGCATGTAAACAACAAAAACCATGACGCCACATGACTCAAAATGAAATCAGTGTGACCGCAGGTTTGAGCATAAAATTTCATAATAATATCACGGATTAGATAAAGAGAAATTACATAATCTGTGATAATCACAAATATAAGTATACAGTAAACTAGATACGTAGCTAAGTGTACATGCCGCTAATAGAGATAATTGAAGTTTTACTATTTTCCGCCATCTTTGTGGGAATTAGAACCTTATCACATGTTTATAACTGTTATCGCTGCTTATAACAATTACAAGTTAAGCTGATCACAGATATATATATACTCGTATATTATTTTATAGTTTACACACACATAAATCCCACAAAAATGGCCGAAGTCGACCTTCATGCTTATCACTAGATGGCAATCTAGTTTATTATATATATCTGTGATGATAATATTATCAGTTATCATTTAAATCTTCTGTTTGATAAGGAGTTTGTACAATAATATTCATGCGGCTACACTGATATCTTCGCGGGTCCTTAATAAGTCTTTTTAAAAAATGTATTTGTTTTCGTCCGAATGAGCTGTCTGTTTTCATAATATAATCTTACGGTGTAGCTATTACACAACGGCCCGGACAAACGCAAAGTCATTAAAGACGGTTTTCTTGGTCCCAAGCTTAACAAAGAAAATATGGGTTCGTTTATTCGACTTGCGGACAATAGGCACTACTAGCTGCTGGCACATATAATATAATAATAATGTATTAGGTGTTGGAGCTAAAGTCGTGGCCGCATAATGGAAAATCGTTCCCAAATTCCGGTTGGCCCTTTTAGTTTTTCTATACAGAGTGATTCGTTAAGGGGCGTTATATATACTATTTATCGAGGAGTTTGGTGTAAGAAATTGGTCGCAAAATCTCAATTAAAAGGTTAAACTGTGATGTGTAATTATATGGTTTTGTTAAAAAAAAAAAACCAACTCGACTTGTGCCTCCCACTAGTCGGTCTCGTGTAGTACTCATAAGTAGCTTAGGGCTCTTTTTGTGTTGCACATTTGATAAATTAAAAAAAATTGAGGCAAGGGGTTTACCTATCCCCGGTCGTCGAAGTTCTTCATTCTATTTTTCCCTGTAATTCTCTAAGAATTACAGGTTTCCTACCTCTTACTAAGCTTACTACTGACCCAATTATTCTGAAGCCGTTAAATTTAATTCCAAACACATCTTGTGTGGTAGAATCTCATTTACTCAAACTACATCATTCACAAACATTAGACATTAAAGTGCTTCGCCCTGTAATCTGTATTGTCTATAGTAAGTTCGTCCATTACTAACGCGGTACGGGCTTAATTCTCAGCACGTTGCACACTTGGATTTATTACTCTTCTGTTCAATCATTGTTGTTATGTATAACTCCGAAGAATTCTTTTCTTCCTCGAAACCCCGTACAATACTTCCATAAAATAAGTGTTAATAAATTAACCGAAGAACGATTAATTGATTTTTAAATTACATTTTAAACCTATTGCTAGTGAAATCAATTTTAGACTTCTTCCAGTATAGTGTTGTTTTTTGAAATAAGTATTATATACAGTGTGCATAGAAAGAAAATATATAATGGCTTCAGACTTATTTCTCTTTTTGTCACAGTGTCTTATTAATATGAATAGTGGCAGGTTTTGGTTTATTCAGACGAGGGACACCAATAATAGTGTAAACGTGGATGAGCAATTACATAAACAGCGGATTCGTTATAAAAAACACTATGTAGGTATGCCTACAGTGTTGTTAAAGGGAATACATTTAAAATATCGTTACTAAGCGATATTCTCTATGACGCCATTGTTGCCATAGTAACACTGGGCACAATATGCAGCCGACAGATCCTAATAATATGAATAAAAAACGAAATTAAAGCATTATTATCATTGTAATATATTCCGACTGAATAAATATCGCAAAGGAAATGTTTAAATTAAATGCCTCTCGCTGAAAAAGCTCGTTGAAAACTAAATGTTTGTTCAATAAAAAAATGTACAGAATGTAATACATTGGTGTGTTCCATTTGACACTCGTATGGAGTTGATACAATAATAATATTGTCCCTCGAGTTGTGTCGGAACTAGATTGTATACGATTTAAATAGATCCGTAAATACTTATTTGAACATATTGCTTTTTGTAGTTGCAAAAACATTCTTTAACAAGTAAAAAAAGCTTAAGAAATATTCAGTTAGTGAAAAATATTGTGCTTTCTTGCATTGAATACAGATAAACAGTACCTATATAATTATTATTGACAGTGGTTAAAGCTGTCAGTTTTCCTCGAGGGGACAAATTAATGTTGAATTGAGAATGGAGAAATAAAATCGTCCGCTTAAGCTATACTACAGGAATGCGTTGGTGACAGTTGTATAATATCATAATAGCTGATAGTGAAGAGGGTTAGCGCGTTTTAGACAAGGCGGTACCGCTATGACTTGCCTCGCCCCCAACCCTTTGAAAACTTCCAATCGTACAACTCCAGTTAAACATTGTATAAATTATTCATTGCGTGATAATTGTATTTTATATTAGCATAATATATTATTAAACATGCATAACACAATACACCTAACGCAGTTTTTATTCACTTTGTATGCGATTAAATGTAGCAATAATTATAACACTATCAGCCGGTTTCATAAACTATTATCAAATACACTCTTAACATAATGTTAGTTAACAATTCATTTAAATTTAACATCTAGTTAAATTAAGTAAGTGTTCATCATAACAATTTTGTTATTAAATTCTATTTGTTAAGTTAACAAAATGTTAGCTGGGTTACCAAAGCGGTTACCTTGATTCCAACGTTCTCATTGGTTATCACGAAATGTGATAACTAATAAGTGATATTATAAAATATTATATTTCTTAATCAAATCTCAATTAGTAATGTGTAATTAGATCTATGTCACTTTAACATGCCAATTAACTTTTTAACAAGCTGATTAACTTAACAATCATTATTTTTTTCTCGACAAAGTTTACCAAAGAACTTCACCGGATCGATCTTGTTATAATGTTAATAATTAAGGTATGCTTGTTGAAAAAAACTTTTCGAGAATATTCATAATGACAATTATGCAAATAAGTTTTACATTCGAAGAGCACATTGTTATTGTTCAGGCGGCAACTTTGGTCGTTGTATAGTACATGTATAGCAGTTGAGTTGTGAACTCTGACGGTAATATTTTAAAGGTAATAATAATAATAATAATAAGAAGAAAACCAGCGCCTAATTTTCCAGAGACGTTTTTTTCCCCCAACGATACGTTTCGTCGTCTTCGAATTTGGCGACTTTATGTAATTGAAGTTTTATTTTTGCACTGTCAGTGTTTTAAGGACAGCCTTTGCGGTTTATCCCTTCGGGTGAAATTAAAGTCTACCTGTCGACGAGGCCTCGGACCACAATAGAGAGGATTTGCACCGTGTCCGCAATGTATTATCCAGATGAAATGGGGATATAATAATATAGTCCGTCTCTGTTGTACGTCACTGGTTAGGTCCCTAAGTACACAATTTACTCGAGTTGGCATTTGTCCGTATTATATATATTTTATGCGCGGTTTAAACAACACCGAAAAAACACATTTGTTAAATTATTATCCTGAGTATGCGCCATGTCGTCGTGCAGCTAAATCATATACTATGCTGTGAAGCACTCAAAAATAGTATTTTTAAGAAATTGATTTCGATAAATATTATTTGGTTGCCGTCTTATGTATTATATTATATTGCTGTCGCCTATTGGCAAAGAAACACATAGTTTATGGCCCGTAATGTATAACAAGTCGTGAACACGGTTTTTTTTTTTTTAAATATTATGTTGATTTATATTTCACAAGACCTCCTGAATCTTGTGCGGCCACCCAACCGTTTTGGGGGTCGTGCAAGGGAAATACTATAGCAAAACTTCCAAGATGACTGAACTTCTTATTGTGCGTACATGGGCAATAAACAAGCTGGTCGGGACATTTTTTTGCGGGTCGTTTGAAGAGATTTTTTTTTTTTTATTATGAAAATTAACTTGCTCTTCAAGTCGAGTGTTTACCGTTTATACTGTGCGGCGGCGGCGGCTGTGACCAAAAGTGTTTACATATATATATATATGTATGTTTTCACTGCAAGAAAAATAATAAAAGTCGAGTCTAGTCGAGTTTTTCGTTAAGCAAAGTAAAGAGCATAAGCCGGCAGGAAAATAAAGTCCCTGAAACGGAACGGGGTCAGAGCAATAAAACAGTTTCTTTCACCGGTGCTCATAAATAACGGATAAGACGCCGGTCTCGACCGACGACAGACGTGGGGCTTAAGTACAAGGTGCGTTTACTGTAAGGTATTTTTTTTCCCCTTCATTTTGGAACAACACCAAATATGAAACGTGTTAGCGGTGGCCGACCGGTATTGATTATACACAGACACACGGCCAAAGGTGGT